ATGGATATCAAGGGTTCTACTGGGTTCCAGCAGGGATAGAAGAAGGGTGGGAGGCCTGAGTCTTAGGTGGATTTTTCTTGGGGTGAGGAGAATGGCATTTTAGGTGGCAGGCACTACCTGAGCAAAGACTACATAAAAACCTCTTTGGCATGAACCCAAGCAGGTATCTGGGAACTGAAAGAGTCAGGATGTGGGGCACTAAGGAGGCTTCCCTGCCTCCCCACAAACATTCCCCTATTTTTATCCAGGGCTTCATTGATGAGACCCCCAACTTCATCATCCCAGCACAAAGGTGAGAGAGCTGGAGTAGGGATTATCAAAGGATCCAGGCAACAGCCATCATCCAGGTAGCCAGAGCTAGGGGCATCGGGACTGATTGATCCAATCCTTCCCTGTGACATCTTAAAAAGTCTTAAGGGGCCAGGCACACTCACGCCTGTAATGCCAGCACTTTGGGAGGCCGAGGCAGGAGAATCGCTTGAGCCCAGGAGTTTGAGGCCAGCCTGGGCAACATAGTGAGGCCATATCTCTACAAAAACATTGTTTTGTTTATTTATTTGTTTATTTTTGAGACGGAGTTTTTGCTCTGTTGCCCAGGCTGGAGTGCAATGGTGCGATCTCGGCTCACTGCAACCTCCGCCTCCTGGGTTCAAGTGATTCTGCTGCCTCAGCCTCCCCAGTAGCTGGGATTACAGGCATCCACCACCATGCCCGGCTAATTTTTGTATTTTTAGTAGAGACGAGGTTTCACCATGTTGGCCAGGCTGGTCTTGAACTCCTGACCTTGGGTGATCCACCCGCCTTGGTCTACCAAAGTGCTAGGATTTACAGGTGTGAGCCACCAAGCTCAGACAAAATATTGTTTTAAATTAGTTGGATGTGGTGGTCCTTGCCTGTAGTTCTAGCCACTTGGGAGGCTGAGGTGGGAGGATTGCCTGAGCCAGGGATGGAGTTCAAGGCTGCAGTGAGCTGAGATTGTGCCCCTGCACTCCAGCCTGGGCCACAGAGCAAGGCTCTGTCTCAAAAAAAAAAAAAAAAAAAAAAAGAAGCAGCAGCCCTAAGGGATAGGGGAGTTGCTGGCTCAGGTGGGATACCTGGAAGTTCCCCTAGCCTTTACTTTGCCCTTCACCCCAGAGCTGAGCCCATGAAGATAGTTCACCAGCCAACACCTCCACCCGGGGACCGAGAACCCCCATTCCAGCCATCTGCTCTGCCTGCAGACCCTCCGGAGAGCCCACCACCAGGTAAGGACTTGGGTAGAGATCAGATGAGACTTGGGAGTCTAGAACATCCTAGTTGAGTTTGGAAGTGTCAGGTACAGAGGTGGGGATAGGGCTTACCCTCCCAGGGCAGGGCATGGTATATGAAGATGGGATGACGATGTCAGAGGCTTGAAGCTCAATCCTTAAATGCAGAACTTAGTGTCTTAGGGGTGGGCTAATTCCTCTGTGCACAAAGTTGAGCATGCAGGGAGGGGCTGAGGCTACTGAGGAGGGGCTGAGACACTGCAGCCAAGGAATATCCACCTGTGACCTCTCCTTTCCTCAGCCCCAGATCCTGCTCTGGAGCTCCCATCCACCCCACCACCGTCCAGCCTTTTACGCCCCCGCCTCAGTCCCTGGGGCTTGGCCCCGCTCTTCCGTTCCGTCCGCTCCAAGCTGGAGAGCTTTGCTGACATCTTCCTCACACCCAACAAAACCCCACAGCCCCCGCCCCCGTCCCCCCCAATGAAGCTGGAGTTGAAGATCGCCATCTCAGAGGCTGAGCAGTCTGGGGCTGCTGAGGGCACTGCGTCTGTCAGCCCCCGGCCCCCCATCCGCCAGTGGCGGGCTCAGGACCACAATACCCCAGCACCTCTTCTTAAGCCCTCTCTGGGCCGAAGCTACTCCTGCCCTGATCTGGGGCCCCCTGGCCCAGGTACCTGCACCTGGCCACCTGCTCCACCCCAACCAAGCCGGCCACGGCCGCGGCGGCACACTGTGGGTGGTGGGGAAATGGCCCGAGCCCCGCCACCCCCTCGGCCCTGTCTCCGGAAAGAGGTCTTCCCTCTCGGAGGAATGGGAGCCTCCCCTTCTCTCGCCACATCTTGCTCGTCCACGGCATCCACTTCCTCCTTCTCCGAACCAGCAGAACCCAGGTAGTGCTCTCAAAAAACCCCCCTCGAAGCCTGGCCGCAGCCTGGTCCCAGCCTCCTTCCCTGAGTATCCAGCGGGCAGGAGACGGGGGATAATGCAGTGAATCCTGTTTGTCCCTGAGCCTTGACCTTCTTGGCAGGTTGGGTTCAACCAAAGGGAAGGAGCCAAGAGCCTCAAAGGACCAGGTGCTTTCAGACCCTGAGACCAAGGTAGGCATTCAGATTGGGTAGAAGAGACTAGTGGGGGCCTGAGCCCATGTCACTCTTTCACCCTCTGCCCCATTTTTGCAGACCATAGGAAAGGTTTCTCGATTCAGAATACGCAGAACACCAGCCCGTCCTCAGCTAAACCTTACACCAATGGGACTGCCTCGACCAATCAGGTGAGGGGATCATTGGGCATTGATCCGTCTTGGCCAAACAGATGCAGGCTCATGTCCCCTGAAGTATAGCTTTGTCTCCCCTCAGGGAGCACAGTCCAGTCTGAAGGATTCAACTGGGTGTGGGCATGGTTTGTGCTCAAAATTGCCTGTCTGCCTTATGTAGCACTCCTGGCCCTGACATGTCCCAGAAACTGAAACACAGACCAGGCCTTACCTGTCCCTTCAGGTCCCACTGGCCCAAGGTTTCTCAGTGGCCTCTGCTCTTTGCTTACAGGTTGAACAAGAAGGAGTTCAGCTTGGAAGAAATTTACACCAACAAGAATTACCAGTCACCCACAACCAGGAGGTGAGACACTTGGAAGGCTTGAGGGTGGCAGAGGGAAGTCTGGAGCTATGGGGCACGCTGATAACCAGCTCCTCTCCCTGCCTCGTCCAGGACCTTTGAGACCATCTTCGAGGAACCCCGGGAGCGCAATGGGACTCTGATTTTCACCAGCTCAAGGAAGCTCCGGCGGGCTGTGGAATTTCGGGACAGCAGCCTTCCTCGATCACGACGGCCATCCCGTGGGGTCCGGGCTGCAGGGGGCAGGACTGTTCCTCCCCATGTGGCCCCCAGCCCTGATGTGGGCCCCCTGCTCCAGCAGCGGCTGGAGGAGCTAGACGCCTTGCTCCTAGAGGAAGAAACAGTAGATGGGGAGCAGCCCCACTGGACCTAGGTGCCCTATCTGTTTGTCATCCATTTTTAAGGGATGGGAAATCTCCCACGCAGTTTTTTTTTCTCTATATTTCTAGTAAAGTTTTCGATATGTTTCTGATTCTTTTGTATCTCTAGCTGAGTTTAAGATTGATTTGGCTGATGTTTCTACGTTGACCCCCAAAGGTCTGGGAACTGGGACTGGTGCCAGAGATGGTGACAGGCGTTGGGTACAGAGTACAGGGAGGGGGTGGAGTGGTCACTTGAGATATAGATAGATAGATAGATAAGAATGGAGTTTCACTCTTGTCACCCAGGCTGGAGTACTGGAGTACAATGGCACGATCTTGGCTCACTGCAACCTCTGTCTCCGGCATTCAAGCAATTCTCCTGCCTCAGCCTCCCAAGTAGCTGGGACTACAGGCGTGCGCCACCACACCCACTAATTTTTGTATTTTTAGTAGAAACAGGGCTTCACCATGTTGGCCAGGCTGGTCTCGAACTTCTGACCTCAGGTGATCCACTCACTTTGGCCTCCCTAAGTGCTGGGATTACAGGCATGAGCCACCATGCCCAGCCTAGAGATATTTTCTTGATTAGAGGATTCTCCTGTGTGGAAGGACACTTCTGAAGCAGTGTCAGATGATACTGTGACCCTAGACCCTGGTCTGGGTTCACCCAATTCATTTATATAGAGACTGAAAGGCCTATAGTGGGTCAAGGCCTTGAAGATCAAGATGGCCCTGAATTCCTACTAACATGCGGGTCAGGACCTGCTGCTGGATTCAAGAGCTAAGGCAGGCCAGGTGCGGTGACTCACGCCTGTAATCCCAGCACTTTGGGAGGCTGAGGCAGGTGGATCACAAGAGGCTAGGAGTTCGAGACCAGCCTGGCCAACATGGTGAAACCCCCGTCTCCACTAAAAATATAAAAATTAGTTGGGCGTCTTAGTGCATACCTGTAATCCCAGCTACTCAGGAGGCTGAGCCAGGAGAATCACTTGAACCCGAGAGGTGGAGGATGCAATGATCTGAGATTGCACCACTGCACTCCAGCTTGGGGGACACAGCCAGACTGTCCCCCCCAAAAAACAAAAACAAAACAAAAAGAGCTAAGGGTAATGGGCCATAATGAAGCACTCACGACGACTGTCATAGGTGCTTGACCTGCACATGTCCCTGCGACAGGGAATTAGTCATTTTATGGATGAGAAAGCAAGGCAGGCATGTCAGCGCGCTGTCCACTTTCAAAACGGTAACCTGGGCAACCGGAGGCCAGAAATGGCTTCCTCTGTCTTTTTTTTTAAGCCAGTCACATTGAGCAGTGGGGTGCATCTTTCATAGGTGAGAGGCATCACAGGGCAGTGGCTGAACACAGACGTGGCTAGGAGACTACCAGCCCGTTTGTGCGCGCTTTCCTCTGTCCCAGTAAAGTGGGCTGACAGCATCTCCCTCGTGGAATTATTACCAAACGCAGTCACTACCGCGGAGAAGCGCTCATGCAAGTGCAAGGTGTTTTCGAATTGCTAGAGCTCGGGAACCGCTGCCAGCAGCCTCGCCTGGAAGGGACACGGCTGCCTGTCAGTGCGGCCGGGGCAGGCACAGCACGCGGCCGCTCGAGCCACCCCGCGCCGCGGAACAACCCGCCCGCCGCCAGCCGGGCGGCGGCGCCGCCACGCGCGTGCGCAAGACGCCAGGCTGTCTGCGGGCCGCGCCGAGCGGCGGAAAGGCGGCGATGACTTAACTGGCTGTGGAACAGAATCTCTCGCATCCGCGCGCCCCCCAGCGGCCAACCGCCCCCAACGCCTCAGGCCCCGCGTCTCCGCCCCTCGCCTCGACGCCATCAGGAGACTGGCCAATAAACTAACAGCAGGAAGAGGCGGGGCCCTGCGGGAACCTCCCCAAACACCTACTTCTAACCAGTCGAGTCACAAGACTGGGGGATGGGCGGAGCCAATCTGACGTAACCCAATCCAAGATTTGAGGGCGGTTACATGCACCCACTCCCTCGGGTTTGGCTCCGCCCCTCGCCTTGTCGTAGCCCTCTCAACCTATCAGCGACTGCGCCCGTGGGGCAGGGGGGTGAGGGGAAGGGGGCGGAGAGTGGGAGGAGGCCAAGAGAGGAAGGAGGCGTAGGCTGAGTAGGAAGAGGGAGGAGGGGCAGGGAAGTCCCGGCGGAGAAGCGCCCCAAGACTCCAAAGGAGACAACAGGAGTTTGCGCTGGAGGTCCCCCGCTGCCCATCGGCCGTTCCGGATTCCTTAAGGCCCAAGTCGGACAGAGACGGAGGAAAGGAGGAAGAGACTTTTATGTCGGCGGACAGAGGAGCTGTACCCGTCACCGTTGCCTCACATCCGGGGCCTTGGAGGGCTGGCCCCGCGGCCTCGCCCCGCCTCGCGCCTTTCATGGCGACCGGAGGCGGAGGCTGGAGGAGCTGGGCCCGGAGGAGGCCCCTTTAAATCTCCTTAAAGGGGTGGCCACTGAACTCGGCGCACTCCAACGCCAGCCTTAAAGGGGAAGCCGCCGAATAGACGCTGACAAATTGAGAACTGTGCCGTTGGGAGAACTGGGGCGAGTGGGGTTTTTATTTACCTCGTCCTTCCCCACACGCAAGAAGTCTTTTAAATTCAACTTAAAGGGGAAGTGGCCGCTTGTGGAGGACTAGAAACTAACTCTGAGCCCTTAAAGGGACGGCCTGGTGTTTGAAGGACCCTGGCCTCCTTAAAGGGGTGGCCTCTTTGAGCCGGAGGACTTGAGACACTTTTAAAGGGGAGGTCTGCGTTTCGGGCGAGCTTTCGGCCCCTTTTAAAGGGGTGGCCCTTCCTCTTCCTCGGGGAGACTTGCCTCGACCCCTGGCAGGGGGCGGCCACCGCACTAGACCGCCGGACACTGTCGGGTCGTCTTAAAGGGCCCAGGGGCTGGACAACTTGAGGCCTCGCCTTAAAGGGACGGCCGCCCCGTTTTCGCCGTCGCGGCCCCGCCGAGCCCGCAGGGGGGGCCCTCGGGCTTGTCGCCCCGGGGGCGGCGCCGGCTTCCCGGGCCGTGGCCTTGGGGCAAGCTTGGGGCCAGCAGATCCGGCTTTAAAGGGGAAGCCGTGGCCCTCTCGTCCCTGTGTAGCCGCCAGCGCCGCGCCTGCGACCCCGGGCCTGCGGACAGGCCGCTTCGGGCCCCGCCGCCTCCGGATGCGGCGCTGAGGGCGGTCGCCATGGAGACGGCAGCGGCCGCGGCCCCGGGCCCGGGCTGGGCAGCGGAGGGGGAGCGGCGGCGGCGGCGCTGCTCGCGCCGAGACCGAGACCGGGAGCAGCGGCGCCGCCGAGGTCCAGGCGGCGACGCGCCCCGGGCCCTGTTGGCCGCCCCGCGCGGCTCCTCGTCCTCGTCGTCGCCTCCGCCGCCTGCCAGGCCTTGGTCGTCAGCTTCGTCTGGAGAGCGGCCCGGGGGACCGAGACGCCGGCGGCCCCGTCCGAGACCTCGACCCCCGCGACCCCGAGCTCGGAAGCGGCCTGCCGGCTCGGGCAGCCGCGGGGAGGAGGAGGAGGAGGAGGAGGAGGGGGGCGCAGACGACGGGGAAGCCGAGGAGGAGCCTGAGGAGGAGGAAGAGGAGGAGGAGGACTTGATCGATGGCTTCGCCATCGCCAGCTTCGCCACCCTCGAGGCCTTGCAGGTGGGGCCTAATGGGGCTGGGGGGCTTTGGGGGTTTCCGAGGGGCAGCAAGGAGGGTGCAGTGCCCCGAGTGGGTGGAGTTGAGGGGGGAATGCTGGCACCCCAAACCAGAGCAACCGGCTCCTCTGGCCAGGCCTCTGCCCCGCCCTGGGGTGGGAGGAGGTAGAGCTTGTCTCTGGGGACCCGGTTTCCCGGCCTGAGGGGTACTTAGGCAGCTTGGTCACCCCTAGAGGGGTCGGGAGCTTGCCCTTTTCCATCCACCTCAGCCCCACATCCTTCTCCACAGAAGGATGCATCTCTTCAGCCCCCAGAGCGACTGGAACATCGGCTGAAGCATTCTGGGAAGCGGAAGAGGGGGGGCTCCAGTGGGGCCACCGGGGAGCCAGGGGACAGCTCTGATCGGGAGCCTGGCCGGCCCCCTGGGGATCGGGCCAGAAAATGGCCCAATAAGCGGAGAAGAAAAGAGGTGAGCTTGTCCTTTAAAACTCTTTAGGCAGAATGTATTTCCCACAGCCCCGTTTTTCGTCGGCAACGCCACTGTCCCTTGTAAACAGTGACCCCAGTCTCTAAGGGCAAAGAGGCAAGCAGGGAAAATTTGAGCCCTCACTCTCATCTGGGTCTGACGAAGGCCTTTCTACAGTTAGGTGCGCCTACTTTTGCGTGGTTCTGTGTCTACTTCAAACGTTTTGATAATTCAGAGAGGCATCAAAGGAACTTAGCTGGGTCATAAGGTCCCTGCCCTTCCTCGAGGTAGTGGCAGTCCAGCAGGAAAGAAATAGGAAGCAAACACCTAGACCTAAACTTGAGAAGCTACAGAAAGCAAAGATGGGGAGAGATGCTACAGAAACCCACATGAGGAAGCCGCTTGTGCTGCCTGGGGGATGGGAGGAGAGTTGTGGTTGGGGAAAGCCCCCTAGGATGTCTTAGTCAGGTCCTGAAGTATAGTCAGAAGTTTGCTAAGAAAAGAGACGGGGAAAAGTTGTTTTGGGCAAGACCACGAAGACGTGAGGACCCGGCGTTATTTAGGAAATGGCGAAAGTTCTGGGACCCGGGTGGGCAGTGGCGGGAGAAGCAGCTGGAAGGAGAGGCTGAGAGTAGATCCTGGAGGCCCGTGAGCGCCCTGCTGGGAGCTGCGACTTTCCCAGCCGCCTCAGCAGCCGCCTCCCTCACCTCTGGACTCTGGTCTTCCTCAGGCGTCCTCCCGTCACTCTCTGGAAGCTGGATACATAGTAAGTGCTATCCACCTGTCCTGGCCCCTCCCCACTCCACCCTGGGCCTCTTCCCTCTCGTGACACCTCTGTCTTTCCTTCTCCCCAGTGTGACGCGGAAAGTGATCTGGACGAGAGGGTGAGTGGGGCTAGAGCTTGGGTGGGCAGTGTCACTGCTTGTAAAAGAGACTGCAGCATAAAGGCCTTCTACGTGCAGCAGACAGCCTTCCCTTGAGTGGGAAACATGGCTTAGGTTGAGTCAGGATTAGGTTTTTGGGAGGAAGGGGGGTGGATTGGGAGGGTAAATGGCGTCATTTTTTCTTTTGGTGACTAGGGCTAGCTGACCAAGGAATGGAGGGTCCATGCTTTAGCATACTATTCTTTCCAAAGCCCTTGAGCTACTTCTGGTTCTCCACGGAAACCCAGAGTGGCTGTGGCACTGAGATGGGCCTTCTGCTGGTCATCAGCCTCTTCTTAGAATGAAGATCTCGATTCAAGTCTGAGCAGAAACCATTGTAGTCAGTGTAGGGACTCAGCTTATGAAGGTGTATTTGAGTTTATCCTTAGGGGTGATTTGTTTGTTGTGAGATAATATGTCCTAGAAATTAATGCTGTACCCATTGGGCCCATGTAAGTAACTCAATTTGCATTCCCTGATGTGTGTCTTGTTTTCGTTTCAAAAATTGATTGGATAGGACTGTGGTGAACCAGTGGGTTCTTGTCCATTTGCTTCATCCATCTCTGTCTAGTTTAGGTTGACTGTTGCTACAAGAACAGGGGGCCCATTCTTGAGAGAATCTGCAAGCCTGAGTTTTAATGAGGAATCTCTGGATTCTTAAATATCTACAGTTGGTTTAAAACTTTTACTAAAAGTTTTAAGTGGACCAAATGTATCTGTAAGCCAGGGAGGCCTGTGGGCCAGCAGCTAGTGACCTCTGACGTTTTGGTTTGGTTTGCCTGCTTCTCTGCTGCTTCAACGCTGTCTCCATTTAGTCCTCCTGGCCTATCGGATTCTTGGGCTCAGCTGCTCCACTCTGCTCTTTCTCCAAGCTCAGCCCTGCTAGAGCCCAGTCTTTGATGGATCTCAGCTAAACTGAAGGAACAGACTTGCTACTACCGCCAGTTCCTAGCAGCCTCCAGAGGCTATTTGGCCTTCCTGGATGGAGGCCTGGCCTGCCCACAACCTAACCCTATCCCTTGCCCTTCTTCCCCAGGTCTCCGATGATGACCTCGACCCATCCTTTACTGTCTCAACCAGCAAAGGTTGGTCCCAAGGTCTGGCGCCTGGAGGCACGGGAGGGAAGTGGGGTGAGCATGAGCCTCAACTGAGCATGTCTGCCATCCTGCCCCACAGCCTCGGGCCCCCACGGCGCCTTCAATGGGAACTGTGAAGCAAAACTCTCCGTGGTCCCTAAAGTGTCGGGCCTGGAGCGGAGCCAAGAACAGCCCCCGGGGCCCGACCCGCTGCTAGTGCCTTTCCCCCCAAAGGAACCACCGCCTCCACCGGTCCCTCGGCCTCCTGTCTCACCCCCTGCACCCCTGCCGGCCACCCCCAGTCTGCCACCCCCACCCCAGCCCCAGCTGCAGCTTCGGGTCTCGCCCTTCGGCCTCCGCACTTCTCCCTATGGCAGCAGCCTGGACCTCAGCACTGGCAGGTGAGTGGCCTGGGGGATTGATGCCATCTGGAAGGGCCTGGTCAATTTGGTGCCAACCCTTGCTTTCTGTGGCAAGGACACAGGATGGTACCTGTGGGGTATGACTTGAAAAAGGATTCTGAGGCTGAAAACTTTGAGAAAAACAAATAGAAAGAGATGAACGCAGGACTTACTTGAGTCCGTTACACATTCCCCTGCAGGGGAATCCAGGCTGTGCTGTTTCCCAGTTGTATTTGCTGGTGAGAAGGCTTTTTCAGGCAGGCAAGTCTGCTCGGAATAGTGTTCTTTGGAACATGCTTTGGGAAATGCTGACATGATGGTTAAGAGCGCTGGCTTTGGTGTCAAACCCAGATTCAAATTCTTGCTCTGACGCTTCCTAGCTGTGTGATTTTTGACAAGTCACTTAACCCCTCTGAGCCTCGATTTCCTCTTTCTGTCAAATGGAATAATCATACTATTTTCATCTTAAAGCTGTTGTGAGGATTAACTACGAGTGAATGCAGTGTTTCCCAAAGTGTGTACATTCAGTGTCAGTGACATATGGGATGATTTCAGGTTTTATGTGAGTAAACTTTAAAAAATAGTCATGAGTTAGCTTTTGTGAGTTTTAGAAAGCTAAGTATCATGCCTCAGCCCCTTGATTTCATACGTGTTTAGGGGGAGGCTAAGTAAAAAAAAAAAAAAAAAGAAGTTGAGTTGAGTTCTTAAAAGAAGCCAGTGATGCAGTTGAGATGGTTACTCTGCTGGGCAGCAGTGGGGAAGGTGGCGTGGAGTGTTGGAGACTTGGATTAGCTTTTAAAGCAGGTGCTCGCCACAGGGTAAGAACTATTGACACTTATTATCGATGCTCTATTATTTTTGTCACCGTCATTGTCATCGTTGTTGTTATTGAGAAAACTAAGGCTCAGAGAGGAGCAGTGACTTGCTCAAGGTCACCCCAGGCATTCATGGCAAGATGGGCCTAGAATTCAGGTCTCCTGACTCCCAGGCCAGGCCAGTGTGGTGCTGCTTCCACTGTTGTAGGGTGGGGGACCCCAGGTGGCTTGTTCTAATTAAGCGTCAACATGAATGATCTGTTCTGTGCCGTGGTTGAGTCAGAAAGGGAAAGTCATCTGGGCAGAGATGGCAGAGGCAGCTGTGTGGATGCAGAGATCTAGACAGGGAGAAGTGGGGGTTGCTGGGTGTGGGAGGCACCTCAGTCTGAGAATGGATTCCCTGGGGGAGGGGGGGTCCTGGGGCCAGGTTCTGCCACCTCCCGTGTTGGAGAACCAGGGTCACAGTATCACCCAGGCTTCTGACCCCCGCCCGTCAGAGCTGGCACCTCCCAACCCCTCACTCATCTCCCCACTTCTCTCCCCAGCTCTTCACGGCCGCCCCCCAAGGCCCCGGCCCCTCCCGTGGCTCAGCCTCCCCCCTCATCATCCTCTTCGTCCTCCTCCTCCTCATCTGCCTCCTCCTCGTCCGCGCAGCTCACCCACCGGCCCCCAACGCCCTCACTGCCCCTGCCTCTGTCTACCCACAGCTTTCCCCCTCCCGGGCTGCGGCCCCCCCCCACCACCCCACCACCCCTCCTTGTTCTCCCCTGGCCCCACCCTGCCCCCACCCCCACCCCTGCTGCAGGTGCCAGGGCACCCTGGGGCCTCAGCCGCTAACGCCCTTTCTGGTGAGTTTGGGGTCCTGGCCGGGGGGTGGGGGGCCATGGCCCCGGGCTCGGGCCTAGTTGGCTTTGGGGCACCTCGGCCTCAGCAGACAGCAGGGCTTGAGGAGGGAGTGGCTTGAGGCCAGAGGGAAGGCAGTCACCTGGGCCCAAGGAGGCTGATGTGGCGACAGCATTAAAGCCTTCTCCCGTCCCCTCCCACAGAGCAGGACCTGATCGGCCAGGACCTGAACTCTCGCTACCTGAATGCCCAGGGTGGCCCTGAGGTGGTGGGGGCAGGGGGCTCGGCCCGGCCCCTGGCCTTCCAGTTCCACCAGCACAACCACCAGCACCAGCACACCCACCAGCACACCCACCAGCACTTCACCCCTTATCCCCCGGGCCTGCTGCCACCCCACGGCCCCCACATGGTGAGCTCCTCATTGGGCCGGTGATGAGGCTCGGAGGCCTCAGGGGAGGGCATGGCTTCCGGGGGAAGGCCCGGGTCCCTGGCTGGCAGCTTACTCTTCCCTTCTCTCCCCTAGTTTGAGAAATACCCAGGAAAGATGGAAGGCCTTTTCCGACATAATGTGAGTGTGCGTGTGTGTGTGTGGGGTGTGTGGTGTGGGCGTGGATGCATCCATGCGTGTGACCCTGACTGCTGGGGTCCAGTCTTCAGTACAAAAGCAAGAGCCTTGAGCCTGGGAGAGCTCCCTGGGGGGCTTTACGGTGGAGACCCGTGGACTGACGGGCAGGCTGGACTTGGGCTGCGCCTCCACCCCCACCTGGACTAGTCCCCTTCTCTCCACAGCCGTACACGGCCTTCCCTCCCGCAGTGCCCGGGCTGCCTCCGGGCCTCCCACCGGCCGTCTCCTTTGGCTCCCTGCAGGGGGCCTTCCAGCCCAAGGTGAGCTCCCAATCCAGACACCACCACTGCCTCCCATCTTGACATACCCAGACACGCCGTGTCCGAGCACCCTCCTCGCATTCCCCAAAGCCGTGCCCATCCTCCTGCCCTGCCCTGCTGCACCCAGGTTTCTCCAAAGCCATGATCCCTCCCTGCCCCGTGTCCCAGCTTGGTTCTGGACCCCTTTGTGCTCGGTGCCAGCTCTCCTCTCTGATCCCTCAACTCCCCTTTCCCAGAGCACGAACCCTGAGCTGCCACCACGACTGGGGCCGGTGCCGAGCGGGCTCTCCCAGAAGGGGACACAGGTGAGGGGGCCAGGGCAGGTCCTGGGGGAACTGGAAGGTGTGTTGCGGGGAGAACAGAACTGACTTGAGAGTGAACTACTGATTCCTCCCTTGAATTCACAATCAGGGGTGTTCCTGGGTGTCTAATAAAGGGAATTTCTGTAAATAACTGGCTTTCCCAGGCATGAGGAATGAGAGTTTTATGAGCTTATTCCAGGAATAAGATGATTAGGACAGTGGTTTTTGTAGTGGTTTTCAAACTTTTTAATAAAGTCACAAAACACTTTTTTTCCAAATGACATCATACTAGGAAGCCCTGTTCGGAAACAAAAGATAAGCTGCCCCTTGGTGAAGTGAGGAGAGCCAGAGCCTCCCTCCCTCCCCTTAGCACTTGCAGCAGCGTAGACCCCAGGGCTGCAGGAGCATTGTGAAACGCACAGGACCAGTTTCCTACAGGAAAGACTAGGCCAGAGGTTTTCCAACTTCCTTCAAAGGCATTTTTCTTAAAGAAATCTTAAACAGACCGCTATACTCTAAAGTTGGTAATAGGATAGCTTCTCTGAGAAACCTGTCCTGACTGCCCCTCACCACCCGCAGCCTCCCAGCAGGGCACCTCCCTGGGGCTTGGTTCAGAAACCTTGTGCTGGAGGAGAGATGCCTAGAGTGGGAGAGATGGGGAAAGGAGTTTGGGCCTGAGCAGGAAGGGTTTGAGGGAGTCCCAGTGTTTCAGGCATGTGGGGAGTGAGTGAATGCTGTGGAGATGTGAGGCACCTGGCCCAGGACTCGGGTCTGAGTCACCTCCCATCTCTCCTTTGCCATCCCCAGATCCCCGACCATTTCCGGCAACCTTTGAGGGTGAGTTGTGTGAGGACCTCAGGCTGCATGAGGCTGGGGGCCGGTGTTAGGGTGTTTGGTTAAGGGGGGTCTTGCTTGGGAATAAGTGAGAAGCCCAGAACATGGAGGCAGCCGGATGTGGAACAGCAGAGAGTGAGGGCTTTCAAGTCGCAGACCTAGGCTCAGATGGAACTGGCCATGGGACCTTGGGCAAGGCAGTTGATCTCTCTGAGCCTCAGTTTCCTAGGCTGTAAAATGAACCTAGTCATCCCTTGGTTGTAGGAACGATGAGTAGGGATGTTTTGTGGCGAGGCTGGGCCCAGAGCTAGGCCTGGAGTGGATGATGAGTGAACGTTCTTTCCTTCCCTTTCCCTTTGGTCATCCTTCTGGGGCGGCAGAAACCAGGGAAGTGGTGTGCCATGCACGTGCGTGTGGCTTACATGATCCTGAGACACCAGGAGAAAATGAAGGTACTGGGGCCGGAGGGCTGGGGAGAGTGGGTCTCAGAGTCAGGGGAGGACTAAGCTCTGGGCATTGGCCCTCAACAGAGCTCAGTAGAATCTTGGCCAGAAACATCTTCTTCTGTCCCCCATCACTGCTGAACAGTTCCATGGCTGGCACCTTAGTTCTCTGGCTCATTAGCAGGCTGCTCAGAGAAGGCTCCAAGAGAGGCAGAAGATAGGCATCCAAGCCCCATCTGGGTGCCAGCCAGCCTTTGGAGGGGAACCACGCGTGGGAGAGCAAGAGGGGGACCAGACCGGCTCCTCATGTACTGCCCCTCTCCCTGTGTCGCACACAGGGTGACTCCCACAAGCTTGACTTTCGGAACGACCTCCTGCCCTGCCTTCCGGGGCCCTATGGGGCCCTGCCCCCTGGGCAGGAGCTCTCCCACCCGGCCTCCCTCTTCACTGCGACTGGTGAGTCTGGCCAGCCCCCTTGGGCCTGAGGTTCCCTGTCTGTAGCCCAAGGCCCAGCTTGTGCCCACTCAACCTCATCAGAATCTCCCACCTCTCTGCCCCAGGTGCCGTCCACGCTGCAGCCAACCCTTTCACGGCAGCTCCCGGGGCCCACGGACCCTTCCTGAGCCCCAGCACCCACATTGGTAAGAGCCAAGGGCGTGTTGGGCAACCTAGGCTTTGTCCCTGACTTCCAGGAGATGGAAATCAGACCCAGCAGGCAGGTGGAATGTGGGATAGACCTGGTTCCACTAGCTTAGTGACCTTGGGCAGGTTACTCTACCCCCTCTGAGCCTTGATTTCCTCATCTGTAAAATGAGTAGGGAAGAGCAGGGCGACTTCAATCTCTGCCAGCTGGAGCCCTGTCTCCCAGTAGCCAGTGGCAGGGGCAGTACACCACCTGGGAGGGGAAGGTGGGGAGGCCGTGCCGGCCCAGGGGAGAACATGGCCACTGACTCCTAGGATCTTGGCGGGCTTCTTGGGGAGGTTTCACCTGGGTTTGGGTAGACAAGGAGGAGTTGAGCCTGGTGGCTTAAAGAAGGCTGTTCCTGGCTGGGGACATGGTGACATTCTAGTGGCGGGATAGGTTAGTTGTTCTGTCTGGCTGTGTGACGCATGCATGAAGTTAGGGTCAGGTTGGGAAGGGCCCTGCATGTCAGGTTGGGGGGAAGCCAAAAAGGTCTTCAGGCGAGTGGCCTGCTGCAGAGCGGAGATCTGCTGCGATGGGTCCAGGCGGCTGGTGTTGGGGAGTCGGGGAGAAGAGCATGACTTCATGTCAAGGAAGCCCTGGGTTGGTACCGCTCCCTAGCTAGATGACCCCAGGCAAGTCATTTCACCTCTCTGAGCCTGTTTCATCATCTTCAAGTGGGCATGATCCTAACCACCTCTTGGGCTTTTTGTGAAGTTAACCGACAGGGTGCTTGTCAAAGCTCAATACTTTCCTGGCCCGAGGAAGTGCTCAGCACACGGCTGCTGAAAGCAGGCAGCTGAGGACTCCAGGCACCGGTCCTGTCTCTGCCCAGCCAGGTCTGGTGCCTGCTCAGCACTGGCTGCCCAGTGCTCTGACCACCCCCCTTTCCTCCCACAGATCCCTTTGGGCGTCCCACAAGCTTCGCCTCCTTGGCTGCCCTCTCCAACGGGGCCTTTGGAGGCCTGGGCAGCCCCACATTCAGTGAGTGTGGGTGCGGTGGGGTTGGGGGACTGCGGCCGCGGGGTGACAGCTCAGACCGGGGTCTGGGAGGAGGCCTGAATGGGGCCTCCCACTGCTGGCCCCTGTCACTCTCTGCTTCACCCTCTGCCCAGACTCCGGCGCCGTCTTTGCCCAGAAAGAAAGCCCAGGGGCCCCACCAGCTTTCGCCTCCCCGCCGGACCCATGGGGCCGCCTGCACCGCAGTCCTCTGGCCTTTCCTGCCTGGGTCCGGCCCCCTGAGGCCGCCCGGACTCCAGGCTCAGACAAGGAGCGGCCTGTGGAGCGGAGGGAGCCCTCCATTACCAAGGAGGAGAAGGACAGGTGTGCCTCCCGCCCACCCTGCCCCTGCCCCACTCTCAGCCTCTGCTGCCCCTGGAGAACTTCATTCTCTCCCCACGCCTGCCCTCCAGGGACCTCCCCTTCTCACGGCCCCAGCTCCGAGTTTCTCCTGCTACTCCCAAGGCGCGGGCTGGCGAGGAGGGGCCTCGGCCAACCAAGGAATCCGTGCGGGTAAAGGAAGAGCGGAAGGAGGAGGCTGCTGCTGCCGCCGCCGCCGCCGCCGCTGCCGCCGCCGCCGCCGCCGCCGCAGCAGCCACTGGGCCCCAGGGCCTTCACCTGCTGTTTGAGAGGCCCCGGCCGCCCCCATTTCTGGGCCCTAGCCCACCAGATCGCTGTGCTGGCTTCCTGGAGCCAACCTGGTTGGCAGCACCCCCACGCCTGGCAAGGCCACCCCGCTTCTATGAGGCGGGTGAGGAGCTAACTGGACCTGGGGCCGTGGCCGCTGCCCGCCTCTACGGTCTGGAACCTGCTCACCCCTTGCTCTACAGCCGCTTGGCTCCTCCACCGCCACCTGCTGCGGCCCCAGGCACCCCTCACCTTCTCAGCAAGACCCCACCAGGAGCCCTTTTGGGGGCACCACCTCCGCTTGTGCCCGCCCCCCGGCCCAGTTCCCCACCTAGGGGCCCCGGCCCAGCTCGGGCTGACAGGTGAGGGGAGGGGAGGGGTCGGGGCGAAGCTCCATCTCCCGTTCCTTTAACCAGGTCCTAGGGCTGAGGTTTTAAGCCAGGGCTGGAGGGCAAAGGTCATAACCTCACCAGCCACCTCTGAGGTCATGGAACCTGGGAACAGAAGCCTCAACCCCCACGAGACCAAGCATCACATGGAGTGTAGGGTCACTGGGAGAGCAGAGGTCAGCCTCTAGAGAGGGAGAGGGGTGTGTGCATGGGAGTGTGGCTCATCTCGGGGGCCATGGGGCCTCCTGAGGTGCACCTTTGCCCCTCTAAGGGCCTCTAGGCCCTGGGCCTGTCTCCCCGAGGGCTCACTAAGCCAGAGGCCAAAGTGCCCCCTCCCCTTCACCTACCACCCAAGTCCTCATGCCCTCCGAGGGCTGGAGGAGGAGGGGCTTAAGGAAGGGGGGTTCCATGTACATATTTATCACCCCTTTCACATAGCCCCAAGACCTTTTGTACATTTTTACAGGGGTGCCCCTCCCAACAGTCCCCTTCCTGGTTAATTAAATCCTCAGACTGGTGCTGTGTTCCTAGCCTCTGGCCTCTCTGTGGGGAAGGGAGATTGCAGGGGGAAGAGCCGGGAAGGGACAGTCAGGCTTCTCCCTGGGAAGGTGGGGCCAGCAGGAGATGACCAACAGGGGGCGGGACCTGGGGACCTGGGCTGGAGGGAAGGGCAGAAGCTTCCTGCTTGGCTGACAGCCCTGATTCCCCCAACATGTTCCCATTCACTCTGCCCCCACGCTCAAAGGCTCAGCCTCTAAATCTGACTCCACCACTTCTTAATGGCTCAGTCCCCCTTACCCCATTTCCAAGTGCCCCCAGGACTCCTGGGCCCTGCTTCCCTGAACCCTGTTCTCCAAAACCCTGCCCCAGGCTAAGGGTGGCCAGAGAAGGTCACCATGTACCACACACCAAAGAAGGGGGTCGGCCCAGGGGTGGGCGACACAGGCAGCTTCTTCGGCAGCCTCACGGCAGCAACCCCAGCCTTCCCAAAGCAGCAGGCGCCTCCAGGCTGGGGCCCAACCTAGAAGGCAGGGGTCAATCTAACAAAACCCTAACGTTGACTTTTTTCCCCGGTGGGGCTTATTCTGTAACATGACTTGCGGATATTTATATAAAAATGAGTGTTACAATGAGACCCCTGGCTCCTCTTTGAGTGTGTGTGGGGTGGGTTGAACCGGGGTGGGGTGTGTGGGTCCTGGGGTAAGGAGGGGATTAGGACAGTACTGTGCATATCCTGCCAAGGTTTTCTCCCTCCCATCCGCCTGGGTGAGTTGGTCTGCCACTTCTGGAGGGATGGGTTCGAGGGTTGGGCACTGAAGTTTTTCACATTATTTTTCTATAACCAGGAATACATAGTATGTAGGACTCAAGCAACCCAGCAAGAGACACTGAGCAAAACATTAAATTTCTCTTTCACCTGCCAACCTTCCCAAGCCCCATCCCCTTCCCCCAGGTAACCACTGTCAATCATTCTGTGTGTATTCTTCAGGTCCTATGTGTTTCCCCGCACATGTCTGCACAGGCAGAGTATGTTAAAAAAGATCTATAATTTAAAATTTTTCTGTTTTTTGTGAAGTAATACATAGTCATATAAAACCATTCAAACACACAAGTACAGAGCACAGAGGGAAAGTGCCCCCATCATCCCACCTCTTGCCACCTCTTGAGGATAACTACTGTTTTGTTTTGTTTTGTTTTTTGTTTTTTTGAGACAGAGTTTCATTCTTGTTGCCCAGGCTGGAGTGCAATGGTGTGATCTTGGCTCACTGCAACCTCTGCCTCCTGGGTTCAAGCGATTCTCCTACCTTAGCCTCCCAAGTAGCTGGGATTATAGGCATGTGCCACCATGCCCGGCTAATTTTGTATTTTTTTTTTTTAGTAGAAGTGGGATTTCTCCATGTTGGTCAGGCTGGTCTTGAACTCCCAACCTCAGGTGATCTGCCCGCCTCAGCCTCACAAAGTGCTGGGATTACAGGCGTGAGCCACCACACCTGGCAACCACTGTTAATTGTCAGGAAAATTCCTCCAGTTATTTTTCTAGCTATTACAGGCCACTGCAACAAAGTGAGGCACATGAATTTTTTTATTTCCTGGTGCATGTAAACGTTATGGTTCTGACTGGGCGTGGTGGCTCACGCCTGTAATCTCAGCACTTTGGGAGGCTAAGGTGAATGTGGTTAGGAGATCGAGACCATTCTGGCCAACATGGTGAAACCCCATCTCCATCAAAAATACAAAAATTAGCCAAGCGTGGTGGTGTGAGCCTGTAGTCCCAGCTACTCAGGAGGCTGAAGCAGGAGAATCGCTTGAACCCAGGAGGTGGAGGTTGCAGTGAGTTGAGATCGCGCCACTGCACTCCAGCCTGGGTGAGAGTAAGACTCCGTCTCAAAAAAAAAAAAAAGAAAAAAAGTTCGTGTTCCACAATACTGCAGTCTAAGTGAGCAATAGTGTTATGTCTATGAAAACAGGGACATACCTTAATTTTTTAAATGGTAACAATCATCTGAGCTTTTGCAAGTCGTAATCTTTTTGCTGGTGGAGGGTCTTGCCTCATTGGTGATGGCTGCTGACTGGCTGAGGTGGTGGTCGCTGAAAGCTGGGGTGACAGCAGTTTCTTGACAACAAGGAACTTTGCCTCCTTGATTGACTCTTCCTTTCACTTGAACACTTAGAGGCCATTATTGTAGGGTTATTAATTGGCCTAGTTTGAATATTGTCTCTGAGAAGAGGGAGGCCCAAGCAGAGAGAGAGAACAGTCAACACACACTTATTCATTGAGTTCGCCCTCTTACATCGGCACTGTTTGTGGCACCCCGAAGCAATTACAATAGTAACGTCAAAGATCACAGATCATTGTAACAGATACAATAATAGAAAAGTTCAAGATAATGTGAGATTTAACAAAATGTAACACAAACACGAAGTAAGGGCATGTGTAGTGGTTCACACCTGTAATCCCAGAACTTTGGGAGGCTGAGGTAGGTGCATCCCTGAGGTCAGGAGTTCAAGATCAGCCTGGTCAACGTGGTGAAAGCCCACCTCTACTACAAAATACAAAAAGCTGGGCATGGTGGCTGACTCCTGTAATCCCAGCTATTCAGGAGGCTGAGCAGGAGAATCACTTGAATCCAGGAGGTGGAGGTTCAGTGAGCTGAGATCGTGCCACTGCACTCCAGCCTGGCTGACAGGGCGAGACTCTCTCTGTCTTAAAAAAAAAAAAAAAAAAAAAAAAAAGCTGGGGGGAGCCAGTCATCACTCCCCTTTGGGAGGGAGGCCGAGAAAAAAAAAAAAGGCGGGCTCGGTGGCTCAAGCCTGTAATCCCAGCACTTTGGGAGGCCGAGGCGGGCGGATCACGAGGTCAAGAGGTCGAGACCATCCTGGATAATACGGTGGAAACCCCGTCTCTACTAAAAATACAAAAAACCTAGCGGGCAAGGTGGCGGGCGCCTGTAGTCCCAGCTACTTGGGAGGCTGAGGCTGGAGAATGGCGTAAGCCCGGGAGGCGGAGCTTGCAGTGAGCTGAGATCCGGCCACTCCCACTCCAGCCTGGGCTACAGAGCGAGACTCCGTCTCTAAAAAAAAAAAAAAAAAAGTCACTAGTGAGGTGGGCTGCCCCAGCTGGCGCCTACCTGAGCTCCTATAAATTAACTGCATGGTCTTATTCAGTATGCCTGCTTTTCGTTTTTGAAACGGGGTCTCACTATCACCCAGGCTAGAGTGGTAGTATGATTTCAAGCTCGCAACCTCCACCTCTGAGCCCAAACAGTCCTCCCACTCCAGCCTCCTGAGTAGCTGGGACTATAGGCATCCACCACCACGCCCAGCTGAATTTTTGTACTTTTGCAGAAACAGGATTTTGTCATGTTGCCCAGGCTGGTCTCAAACTCCTGGACTCAAGCCATCTACCCTGGGCCTCCCAAGTCCTGGGATTACAGGTGTGATCTACCACACCCAGATTTGTTTACTTTTGAGGCAATCTCGTTCTGTTGACCAGGCTGGAGTGCAGTGGTGCAATCACAGATCACTTCAGCCTCCAACTCCTATTCCCAAATGATCCTCCTGCCTCAGCCTCCTGAGTAGCTGGAACTACAAGCCTGTGCCACCACACTTGGCTGAGTTTTAAATTTTTATAAGAACAGGGTTCTTGCCTTGTTGCCCAGGCTGGTCTCAAACTCCTGGCTAACCAATCCTCCTGCCTCAGCCTCCAAAGTGCTGGCATTACAGGTGTGAGCCACTGTGCACCAGCATAAGTGTACCTGTTGCCTTAGAAAATATGCAGCCAGCATTCCCTGCCACCACCACATACCCAGGACGTCTAGGGAAGGCTCAAGCCTAGATATCCAACAGAAGTCCAAACAGGTGACCAGAAGGTGAAAGTTGGCCTGCAGACTAAGATTTCCCATGTGGATCCTTGTTTCAGCTTCCCTTAAAAATCAAAAATCTATGAGTCACTAGACCTGCTTACTCCATGGCTTTCCTTTCTTTTTCCTTTGAGATAGGGCATATTCTCACCAGATTGCCATTGTTCCTCACTCTGTTGTCTTGGAGTACACCACAGTCACTATTCAGGCTACCTCTCTCTGACCCCTATAGGCATTTGAGAGAGTGACTCTCAGGATATTTTCTTTCTCTTTTTCTTTTCTTTTTTTTTTTTTGAGACAGTCTTGCTCTGTTGCCACCTTTAGGTCAATGAGCAATCTCATGTCACCAACCTCCACCTCTCCGAACTCAGCCATTCATCGGCCTCGCAGAAGTAACTGGGATTACAGGCATGCACCACCATGCTCGACTAATTTTTTTGTATTTTTAGTAGAGATGGGTCACACTAAATGTTGGCCCAGCTTGGTCTCGAACCTCAGGTGATCCACCGCCTCAGCCCCTGTACCGTGATTACAGGCAGAGCCCACCACGTCCTGCACAGTTAAATATTTTCCTAGACATGCCTATACCTCTCCTAGATCTCTCCCCAAGCACCTCAGATATCCCAGAAATTAAGTCATCTTGGAATCTGATGCCCTGCTTCCCCCAGGTTTCCATCTCTCTCTGTGTCATCAGCACTCAAGTCAAACCTCACCCTCATGATACCAGTTTCGACTGCACTTGATTCTTTTAACCACTGTGTTGACTTCATCCGGCAGGCGTACAGAAGTACACAAAACAAACCCCAGCCATCCTGGAGCTTATGGACATGAAGAGGATAATTGCAAACTAATGACAAAGAATTCAAGGATTGAGGCGTGATGTCTCATGCCTGTAATCTCAAGCACTTTGGGAAGCGAAGTGGGCAGATCACCTGAAGTCAGGAGTTCAAGATCAGCCTGGCCAATATGGTGAAACCCTGTCTCTATTATAATAAGAAATACAAAAATTAGCCAGGTGTGGTGTAATCCTTACTACTGGGAGGCCAGGCAGAATATCCCACTTGAAACTGGGAGGTGGAGGTTGCAGTGAGCCAAGGCTCGGCCATTTCACTCCAACCTGGGCTTATGACCAGACTCCGTCTCAAAGGAAAAAAAAAATCATTTTTAATTTTTCTGGGTACATATTAAGTGTATATATTTATGTGTTGCAAGGCATTTGATACAGACATGCAATGTGTAATCACAAAAATATGGAAAGCTTCATGCATTTGCATGTCATCCTTGCTCAAGGGCCATGCCTAACCTCTGTATAATGTTTCAGTATATGTGGCCAGGCGCGTGGCCCATGCCTGTAATCCTAGCACTTTGGGGAGGCCAAGGTGAGTGGATTTCCTGAAGTGCAGGAGCTCGAGACCAGCCTGGGCAACACAGTGAAATCCCATGTCCCTTCTTCCTCAGGCCAAGACAGGCACGTGTTGCTTGAGCCCAGGAGTTGGACAGTCTGAGCAACATGATAAAACCCCTGTCTCTATAGCTAAAATTGATTAGGATGTAACCGACCACCCTGTAGTCCCAGCTACTTGGGAGACTGGGGCAAGAGGATTAGTGAGCCCAGGAAGCATGGGAAGTTGGGGCTACAGTGAGCAATGATGGCACCACTGCCCTCCAGCCTGGGCAGAGCCTTAGACAACGGAGAGAGAGAGAGAGAGAGAGAGGGAGAGAGAAGGAAGATGAAAGTTATACATATACATGTTTGTTATTTAAAAATAGAGAT